AGGTTGTGACTCTTTTCCTGGATTGTTTTGATGAGGACAGAGGAACTCCCGGAGTGATCTATAGGCTAGCATTGACTTTCACTGGAAGTGTGAGGAAATGGGCTGTGAACATGGCCAGCTCAGAGGCCACCACAACCCAGCTGTGTGTCTCCTCTGGGCACATAGGTTGTAGGCTGCTAGCTTTTCCTCTGGAACAAGGAGCTCTTTTCTGCCAACCGAAACCAGCCATCCCCTGGGTCTCAGCTCTGCCTTCAACATCAGCCTCTTGCATCCAGAACCAGCAAGGGGCCTCAGATTGGTGGCAGCCATTTCAAAGTCGGGTGTTTGGCTCTGAGCTCTCATCTGACTGGCAGGTTCCCTCCCAGCAACCCCTAGTGCCTTTCCCCAAACTTTAAGGCTACCATTTAAGCCCTGTTTCCTGCCTAAAACTATTTATTGACGTACTGCTATTTCCTGAACCGACCACATCAATAAGCCCTGAAAGCCATTCAGTGGCTCAGGTTTCTCAAGGCATGCTGGGAAATTCTTCCCCGCTCTGGATAACCACATGAACTCTGGCATGATAGAGTCCTGTGGTCAAGCCAAAAACAGCTGCGTGCAGGCACAGGGGGAAAACACCCCCACCCCCAGCCAGCCACAGCGTCGGGGAGATGCTGCTCCCAGCGAGCCAGCGGAGGGAGGGCTGAAGGCACAAGGATCACACTGTATTCTTACACTTCCCGAAGCACACAGACGGCCCCTCCAATCCCTGCAACCTCCCCATCATTTCCTTCTCCTTCTTTGAAAACAAATGACCCAGGGAAATTTGCCCATCCACACTCTATATCCCCAGTGACTCTGGTTTGTTTCTGGGCAGAGAGGTGGCTAGGGCTGCCATCTCCCCAGCGGGGAGGAGAAAGTGCACTTTTATTTACTTCTGGCAGGAAGTTTCTTTTTCCTGGAGAAGCTGGGATGAGATGTGGGAGGGACAGGCATTGAGGAGCTGGTGACAGCCCAGCAGCAGTTGAGTCGGTCTTGGTCCTCCTCCACGGCCATTGGTTGGAGGGCTTAAAAGGAGGATTTGATGGAATTCTTTATATTGGAAAGACGAAAGTCATTTTCGAATAGGAGGTGCTCTATTTTGGCTCGGCTCAAACTTTCACTTCCTTCAGGTTTCCGCTTCAGTGTCAGCCCCTCCGGGAGGCCTCCCCCAACTACGTCTCTAAAGTAACAGCCCCCCCAGGGGCAGAGGCAGGGGAATTCCCAAGCCTAGAGCTGGTCTGGAGGGGAACCTGGAGACTTGCTAGATCAATCGCCCCTGGCCCGAGACACAGAATCCTGGGCGTGCCATTTTCTGTCCTATCCTGGGACCTTCAGGCTCCACGAGACATCTCTGAATCCTTATGAATTGGGATTTGGGGAAGTCAAGCCACCTCAAGTTGGTTTCTGTGACTTAGGACCAAAAGAACTGATCAGTGTGAAAATAGGCCTATCTTCTGTGATTGAATAATGGCTCCCTGGGCTCTAGGCAGGAGGACAGAATGGGGCTGGGAACCAGGGATCAGGACGCGTGGCTGGGCAGAGTTGGTAAGGAGAGTGGGCTGAGGCTGGGTGGGCATGCTTCCAGCACAGTCCTGGGTCAGGGGAGGAGGAGAAGAGAGGAGGGGCTATCTGGTAGGCATCTGTCTCTTGGCAGTCCTCCTTGGGCAGCCCACACATCCTGCCCCTTGCACACCCACTCGGGGTAGCATCATGGAACAATCACCCAGGGCTTGGTGTCACTCTGACTAGGTCAGAGAGACCTTCTTGGCTTCAAGGAGTGACATGTGCAGAGTATCTGGAGCACAGTAGGTGTTTAACAAGTGACAGAGAGACCTCTTGGTCACTGCAACCTGAGTCATTCTGTCCACCAAAGCTGGGCCCAGACCTGGCCGCCCCCCATCCTTCTGCCATCCTGGTGAGCACACCTCTTGGCCGAGTCTGCACCCACAGCTGGCCATCACGGCCACAGCGTGGCCACAGCTGCTAATCTTGGCTCAGTCTTGTTAGGCACGGAGGCCCAGCCCTGGGGATTGAGCAGTACCTTGACTCCGGAACAGCGAGAATCTGACCTGCAAGGGCACTGGGGCTCCAGCAAGTGTCTGCTGCGGATTCCCATCTCATCGGGGGTGGGGGCGGGGGGAGAAGGCGCCCCAGACACTGGTGTGAGCCTGGGGCTGCAGCCTCTGCCCCGACTGATTGCTTGCCTTGAGTTCTGATGTCTGCTGGGCCCCGTACTGCTCCTTGCTGTTGGGCATGTCCTTTCCCACTTCAGGCTGGACTTTTTCCTGAGCATCCCTGACTTCCCTGGTTGCACGGACCAGACACCCACCCAACGTGATGCCAAAGCCGTCTCCAACTAGCACATGGCCTGAACTGGCTTACGGGAGGGGTGGGGCTCCAAGGACATAGCTGGTCCCCAGGGCTCAAACATCGATACCAGAGCAGGCCCTCCCCACTCTTGCCTCTGCCTGTCTTGGTTTTGTGCATATTGACTACTCTTTCTCCTGCCGGGGTCTCCCTTTGTGATGGCAAAAGCCAAAGATGGTGGTTGGCATCTCCCCATCTCTATCATAATGGCTTGTGAACCAAAGGAAGACAGACCTCCCTCTCTCCTAGTGTCCAAACCACAAATCTCAGGGACAGATTCTGATTGGCCCTGCTTGTCACATGACCATCCCTCAGACCAATCACTGTGGATGTGGAGATGGGGTTCCCTGATTTGCCAGACCCATGTGGCCAATTCTGTGGCTGGGTGGGTGCAGCGCGGTGACTGACCCCCAGAAAACAGCTTCCCACTGAAAACACAGACCCAGGTCTGGGACCATCGCTGTGGCTTTCACACATGCCTGAAACACTCTTGAGCATCGTGTCAAATTCTCTGCACGTTGGTGGTGACTACCGCCCTTTGAGTCCCACCCGAAAGAATGAAGATAGAGTAATGTTACTGGATGATCTCGAATCTGCTCTAATCAGCAGAGATGAAAATCATGCCCCAAATCCCAGCCCTTCAACTATTATTAATTAAAAAAAAAAAAAAAAAAGAATCCCTGCAGACATTCTCTGTCACTGATGGTTCATGGCACTGTGGCTGAGAATGCATCCTTTCCGGCACGTGGCTCCAGGTGAAAGGAACACTCAGTGGTTGGGAACAGCCATCAGCCACTTGCAGCTGAATCTAGAATATTCTGTAGATATTTTCCAAGGCTCCCAGGGTGTGAGCACCCAGGATATTTCTGGCTTGGCAAAATCAGGTCAGGTTGGCTCAGCTCTGCTGATCCGTATGAGGGGGGCGGGAGCAGAAGCACTGGAGTGCAGTGGGGAGAAGCCGAGAACTTGGGCTGATTCAGTGGGAATTCTGTCTCACACTTACGCAGGCGTGAAGCCTCATTATCAGGCAAGGGGGAGCCAGCCCCTGCTGTGGCTGTGGCCTTGAAAAGCCCTCAGAAGAGGTTGGAAGTTTTCCTTTCAGCCTGAGCAGGGCTGGACTGTTTGACAGACAGGAATACCGGTGGATGAGCAGGAATTCCTCTGTCCACGGTGTCATAGGACTCATTTAGCCTCAGGAAGACACTCGCAGGTACTTGCCAGGTACAGGTGAGCCAGAGAGCACCGAAGTCTCCTAGGGCAGCCCTCAGTAACCAGACGCTTAGTAGACTCTGTGGGAGGTCCCTTGGTTGCCAGCCTGACTTTGGTATAATAGGACCACCGGACATTTACATGTCACTTTTCTTTTCAAAGCACTTCCTACAAACGTTACTGGCTCCACCTCCCACAGCATCTCACACTTCTGAGGCTGGTAGGGCTGGGACCCAGGTCTCTGATTTGGTTTCTGGGGCTCCTTCTTCCCCAAAGTTGTCCTGTTGGAAAAGGCTTGCCTGTAGACAGGATACCTGCCCCTGCCCTGCCTTTCCCCGCAGCTCCCTGCAGATGAGAGGGCCCTGCTGTCACTCTGCAGAGCCCAGATTCCTCTTGGATCCTGCCCAGAAAGTGGCCGTGGGCTCCGAGGCATGTCATCACGGGGGTCTGACCCGGCCCAGGTAGGTCTTACCCACGATGCAGGGCTCTCTGTGGGGAAGGAGGGCCAACTGGAAAAGAAAAGGGCAACCAGTCTAGTTTGGGCAGGTCACCGTGAGATTATCAGGGTTGTCTGTGCCTCAGTTTCCTTATCTGTAAAATGGAAAGAGACTATGCGACCGGTACAGGGTCAGCAGGGTGATGAAGTGACAAACACGTGTGAAACCCCGGGGTTTCACTCTGCTCGCAGAGTTTCAGCCTGGACTGGGTTCTCCCTCGAAAGTTGGGTCCCCTCCCGCAGCCAGAACTGCTGTCTGGGATCCCACTGCTCGGGGCTGGGCCCACAGGCCACGTTCTGGATGCAGGATGGAACGGAGGATGTGAAATCCTACTTTCAATGAGCAGCCCCATTGCTTTTGAAGCTGCCTGGAAGGCTAGCGATAAAAATAGATGATTACACAGGCGTTATTAAACTATTTATAGAATTTGAGAAAACCCCTTGAAATGCTCACGAAAAGATTTGGCCTATAATGGGGATTCCAGAATGACTCAGCCTGAAGCCCAAATCCACCCTCGACTTTGAACTTTGCCACAGACGAAGTCTTCAAAAATCACATTAACATTTATGGGGCATTATCCCTCAGGGAAGCTGGAATGCGGGTGCGCACATCTTTTATCAAGCTGTATCCCGAAGTGTTTACTGGACAACAGTTGAGCAACAACTAGGGGTGGGGTTCATGGAAGGGAACTGGGGAGGGGAACACAAAGTCCAGAAGGCCAAAATTTGCATCCACGTATCCTGGCTCCTGCCCTGGTTATAAAGACCACATGGGGGTATGGATATGGAAGTCATTGTCATGCCTGCTCCTTTCCACAAAGATGTGGATGGAAGCTGTTTGCATCAGGCTCTGTCTGAACCACCCCTCGATTGCAACATGCCATTCCATTTGGTGTCTGCTCTGTACCTGGCAAAGTAGGGGTGGGGGTGTCCCTGAAGGAAGCATCCAGGCCTTTCTCGATGAGCCACAAGCTCCAGGCTGCAGACCAGATGGGCCCTTATGCTGTTCCAAGGAGGCTTGGGCCACCTGTGGGGGTGGATGACCAGTGGTCAGGGGAGAGCCTCAGTGCCTGGCCCAGCCCCTCTACTGGATCTGTTTCACATGGTTGAGGATAGGCCTAAAGTCAAGTTTGGAAAAAATAACACTGCTGCTAAAAATGTCTCAGAAACACTGGTGTGTCAAGAGTACACACAAGGGGCTCAAAAGCCAGAGAGGCCTGGGTGATCAGACTTCCACCCAGCCCTTGGACCTGGGCATGCCCCAGGACTTCTTGTGGCCTCACATTCCCATGTGGGAAAAGGTGACAGGGCTAGACAGAAGGAGAGTGAAAACTCTCTGACCAGGGCAAATATTCGGTGGATGCTTCTCCTCTTCTTGCTTCCCTGGCCTTCCCAAGTTAGGCCCCAAGGACATCCGTGCCCGCTATGATGAGATAGCCTGTCTGACGTCCCGCTCCTTCGCCCGTGTATGGTGTGAGTTAGAATCGGGTGTGTGGGGGGAATGGCATCTGTGCAGAGGGAGAACAGTGGGGGGTAGTGACACCAGGTTACTGAGCCAGGGGAGGGCCAGGGGTGGGGAGCACTCCACTGGGAGCTGACGTTCTGGCTAGCACGAGTCTCATGAGATGTGTTATTTCCTTGGCTATACTGAAAGCCTCTTGGTGTCTTTCTTCTCTTTTCCGCCTCCCTCACATATCTGGCAGAAAGTAGAGCTGGGTATAAAATGGCAGTTTGGAAACTCTTGATGACTTAATTTGAGAAGAGGCCTTCAAGATATTTCTGTTGAAGGTTGTGTTAACTGTGAAACACTAGAAGAGTTGGGGAAGAAAAATCTATCTTGTCTCCATGCATACTGAGGTGCCCCACCCCTACCCCGCTAGGCTTTTCTCCCCAGGACTGGGGACACTCGGGCCTTTGAAAAGCTGGCTCACGTGCCCACCCTTCAGCTGTTGGCCATCTTGTCTTCTCCTCCCAGAGGCCTCCTGCCTTCTCTAAGTAGATCCTTTACTCCGGTTACTGCCCCATCGCCGTATCATTGGCTCTTCTTCATAGCACATAACACAATTTGGAATTAGACACTTGCTGGTTTATGTGCCCAGTGACTGCCTCTCCCGTTTGGGCCACAAACATCATTAGGGCAGGGGAACTCTGTCTGCTTTATTCCCCAATATACATCCAGTGACCAGGGCATAGTAGGCTCTTGGCAGGTATTTGTGGAGTACCTGAACGAATGAATGGAGGTCTCTGAGGCAGCATGGCGCCAGGGAGGGGATATTGTCAAGGCATGGGGGAGGTGATCCTCTGGTTGCTCTACCAGTAGGTAACTTCCCTGCTAGATCTGAGTGTGGCTGTGGTAAAAGAGAGGGCATGAATACGAGATGATTCTAGATTGGGTTATAAAGGGAAGTTTCTTAGGGGAAAAAGATAGATGCTAAGGTGGGAAGCTCATTCTGTCCTTATTCAAGTTTCTGCTCATATGAAGGTGGATGGAAGAAAGGGATGATTCCTCATCAAAATGGGGTCCAACAGGAGCCAAGAGAGAAGAAGGAGCTCTGAAACTGAAAAAGGGTGTGTTATCTTTCCTAAGAAACGATCAAACAGAAACACCAGAAGCCCTGCCTCTTTGAGGCTATGTGACCTTGGGCAAGTTATTCACCTACCTGGGCCTCGGTTTGGTTATCCACAAAATGGGGCTCATTAGCCCCATGTCCCATGTCCCATGAGGCCCATGAGTGGTGGTGAAGACTGAATGAGGGAGGTAATGGATATAAAATCACCAGGAGAATGGAAAGTACTCTACAAAACGGGGTGGTTGGCCTTGACGGATAAGCAAGCACACCTTGCTCACCAGCCCCTCAACATCCAGCTTGGTCCTGGCCTTGCATGAGGTAGAGGGCTCAACAGACACATCCTGAACGGATCCACGTGTCCCAGGCTTGCCAGCTGGCACCCATCACTTTTCCCACCCGTGGTCTTGCTGACCAGGCGCCTCCTGTCAAGCCACATGCTGGGTGGTGGGAGGAGGCTCCATCTGCTAGAGCAGGCTTGCCTAATCTTGGTATTGTAGACATTTTGGGCTGGATTACTCCTTTTTGTGGGGCTCTGTCCCATGCATTGTAGGCCTCTACCCACTCAATGCCAGTCGAAGCTCCCCACCCTCACCCCAAGTTGAGCAAACAAAAAAATATCTCCAGACATTTTCAAAATACATGCTGGGGGCAAAATCACCCCCTCCCCCCCCCACTGGGAGCCACTGCCTCAAGTGAAACCCTGCCCACTCCTGTACCCCACAGCGCAACTTTTTAGGCCACAGCAAGACTCAGAGGCACTGGGATGATGCTGGGGAACAGGAGGGACTCTACCAAGGTCTATGAGGGGGGACTCCCAAAACCATCTCTAGAAACCTCCTGGGGACTGCACTTGTCACACACCTGCTCGCCAAGTGGCCCTTTCTCGCTGGACTCAGCCTGGAGCTCCTGCTGACTAGCGCACACCCAGCATTAGCGTCCACAGCCCGCCCCTGGGTGCAGTCCACAGACTGCAGCCATATTCCATCTTGTGGATTACAGACACAGAATTAGGATTTTAAAGAAAGCGTGAATCCTCATGTGCGATGACCCTTCAAAGCCCAATAGGGTAAAACTAAAGCTTTTGTTCTTCTGGAACTGACAGCTCTGTGCTTCGGCTGTGACGTCAGCACCATGAGCAAATTATCTTTCATCAGCTTGGCTGTATTTTTAAATGTGACCAGCTTAGCACACTTAGCCCTGCTTATTTGGGGGTGCCTTGGACAACAGACAAGGCAGCTGCATTTAACAGAGGACACTGACAAAATGCCTCCCACATCAGTGTCCCCAGATAAAAATACTGCCAGCTCGTTCACAGGTCTGTGGGAAGAAAGGGCAGGAAGCTGGAGGTACCAATCGCGTCTGGCACCTCCCCACCCCTCTGCCGGCCCCTGGTGGCACTGGCTTTGCCGGAGACGGAGGAAGCGTCACCCGGGTGACAAGGGACGTTCTGACTTAGTGAGAAGAACAGAAAGACCTGGAGTCGTCTCCCTTCCCGTGCCACCAGCTCTGCCCAGCACGGAAGGCTCCACTTCCTTGGCCAACATACCCAAGGGGAGTCCAGAGAGCACTCTGTGAGCTGGGGCAGGTCTCTTGCCCTTGCTGAGCCCCATCTGGAGAACAGCCTCGTACGATGAGCCCTACTGCCTCTCATTGTGAGATCCAAATGCTTGAATCCTGTTCCGCGGGGAGGGGAGGCCGGCTGCAGGCCTAGACTAAGCATGGGCCTCGGTGGAATTATCCCAGAAGGCTCCCCTCTGCCCTAGAGCACCCCATCCACCAGCATGCCCAGTGCCTGAGGTCGCCCCATTAATACCACACCTTCAGCATAAGGCACTGTTTCTCCAGAAACTCCCCAGTCAAACCACAGGTAAAACATCAACTATAAATCACATTGGCACAGTTCAACTGATCAGAAACTTCCCTTTTATAAGAAAAACAGGACTTGAGACAGGTGTTTTTTTTTTTTTTTTTAAGTAGGCTCCATGCCCAGGGTGGAGCCCAATGCAGGGCTTGAACTCACGACCCTGAGATCAAGACCTGAGCTGAGATCAAGAATCAGATGCTTAACCGACTGAGCCACCCAGGTGCCCCAGAGACAAGTGGGGTTTAAAGAGAGGAAAATTAGGGATAGTTAGGGTACTTCTCATGGGGCAGCACTATGGGAAATCATCTATAGGGTGGCTGATCACAGGAGGTTTTGGAGTCCATGAGGGACTTTGACAAGGATACTGGCTGGGGACCTGGGCAGGGAAGGCTGCAGTCTGCACCTGTTGGTGCAGTCTCCGACACGGCTTGCTGGCTCTGGGCTGGGCACCTCTGACTCCAGCTGTCAGAGAAAAAGCCTGAGCAGTCTGAAGGATGGCCCTAAGGACACTGCAGGTGTCTGACCCCTGCAAGGACATGGGGGAACCATTCCCACTTCAAAAGTGCCACGCATCAGCAACCTAAGGGAATGGATGATAGGAGTGTGCTTACGAATATGCCAGAAGCCACAAGCACATAAAAGAGGCCAGCCTGTTCTAAGTCCTTCTCCCCGAGTCAGCCTCGGGGAGGCTGCAGGCGCAGGTGTTTGAGTGTGTGGGGCAGGTGTGTGGGGGGCACCCCCTGAAGTGAAGATGGTCTCTTCCTTTTTACAATGCCCACATTGATAAGCTGCTTTCTGCTCTAACCACCTCCAGCTAGTCCCCTCTTCCTGTGCAGAGACCCTCACGGATCCAAAAGCTTAAAAAAAAAAAAAGCAAAAAAAGCAGAATAGTGGAAATGGGGGCGCCTGGGTGGCTCAGTTGGTGAAGCGGCTGCCTTCGGCTCAGGTCATGATCCTGGGGTCCTGGGATCAAGCCCCGCATCCGACTCCCTGCTCAGCGGGGAGCCTGCTTCTCCCCCTCCCTCTGCCTGCCACTCTGCCTACTTGTGCTCTCTATTTCTCTGTCAAATAAATAAATAAAATCTTAAAAAAAAAATAGTGGAAATGTTTGCCATATTACAAATCGGTCTCTTGGGGAGGGGGTGCTCCCGTCTCCACCCTAAGCACACAGTTCTACTGACTGCCAGCACCCGCAAGATGGCGCCTGCCTTAGCCCTCTGGGTGGCAAACAGCTCGGCCTTCCCAAGGCATGGATGGTGAGGACTCCATCTTTCTGGGGAGGAAAATCTCATTTCCGTAAACATTAAACTCTTACACAAAGAGATAGGTTTCTTTTGATGGCCTGAAATTCTTCCCCACACAGAATTCTGAATCATTAAGTGAGTGACCAAAAAAAGAAGTTGTACACCCTCGTGCTGAACCCCATTTTGGGAACTCAGAGGAAGGAGGACTGGTCCCATCTTCCCAGTGAATAAGCTCCTGGGGAAAGTAGGACCCACCTATCTGACAGAGTCCAGAGACTAGAGGCACCTCTTTATAAGTCATTTTAAGAAACTTAAATTCATGGGCACCTGGGTGGCTCAGATGGTTGGG